TTCTACGTATATGATAACAAAACTGTGTTCCCAATGCTGCCAATAACAAAACAAATATTGTCACACAAGAACACAGAGCACCTTTAATTCTGCGGTATTTGCCAAATAAGCATACCAAGTTGGTGTATCCTGTTCCTGAGAGATAGCACGCTGTAATAACAAACAAAAGGTACTGCAGATTTCCCTGGATTTTCTTTCCAAATTTGCTTTTTGTTTCAGACTATACCTTTGATGTTTGAAATGCCCGCTGCTGTTGAACTACCCCCCTTACTTTTGGGGGGAGGGGATACTTTTCTATAAGACCCAACAACCAATCTTCATCTGTATCTAAATCAGATCAAATGTTGGACAAAAATGACATCCCCATTCCTTCAGTAATTTTAAGAACACTCCCACGGATATCTCCTTCTACCAACCATACCTCAACTTCAAACTTCAAACCCGTCGTTCCTTCCCTGCCCTCTGGCAGGAGAGATGTTGTCGAACCGTGCCACGTTGCACTGACATAATTGGCACCTCTGCTGTTGTTATGGTAACAGGGATGCCATGACCTTCTCCATCACCCTGACCCTCCCTGCTTTCCGCCACCCCTCTCCGGGCCTCCAAACCCTCCTGATTTACGGCCTGGCCCTAAATAAACCCTTCTCAGAGAGGTTATCTTTTCGTACAATGGAAGGTTAACAAACGTCTGGAGGAGGCCTGGGATATTGCCTGACTGAGTGGCACTGTTTGTCTGGACCTGACCTTCCCCACTCAAACACTTCACCTTTCATCAACAGTCTTACTTCTACTTACATGGAGGAAGAGGACTCTTGGCAGATATTCCTACAACCTACAACATGATCGTTTAATGGAATATCTTGTAATGAAATTTGGTTGTTGCAGCAGGAATGTCAGTAATGACAGGAATTTATGTTCCCGTGTCCGAATGCATTTTTTAAACGTGAAAACACCTGCATACTGAAAGTTCACCTTCACACCAGATACATCAAAGTCAAGATCTGACAAACTGGCAGCCGTTTTAGGAGCAGACTGACTGCAAAATCGGCAATTAGGAGCCAATTTTGCTGAATGGCGCTGTTAGGCAATTTCACGAGTGCCTCAAGGAGAAGACAAACATCGTTACTAGAATGTTTCTGTGCATTAACGAGATTATCAAGGATACTTGACTAAAAGTTTCATGTGAAA